TTACTCCTAAACGGAGGCTGCCATAAATATTTAGTTGGAACGTAGAGTTACGTTTAAACTAAGTTTAATGGTGCAACGTAAAAATATTTAGTAGTGCATAAGTTGTAACTTAGTGCCTATTTACGTCAAAACTTGGCTAAGTTGTAACTTACGCACAGCTGGTGCAACCGGCCCCTGATTCTGTGAGCATGCAGACTAAACGGCTTGAATGATGTTAAGCAGCCATAACAAGCAGGTATTATCAAACCTTCAAAAATGTTACAATGTCCCTTGAGCACTAATTATTTTTAGTTTATTCATTTTTTAGGAAGCATACAAAACATGCACACTAACTAATAGCTGTTCAATTATAAAAGTATTATTGAAGTTCTTCAGTATTCCCCAGAACTTCACATTCTGTTGAAATACAATCTGGTTCCTTTCAACTGCAACGGCAATGTCTTTCAATAATATCAGCTACCATCATATCACAATGATTTGCTAAACATCCAACAGAACTACTTCAGTTCATCTTTCCAATGCACTTTGATTAGTTAATTTCATTGCACAAGCCAAATGAAGAGCTGTCATCAGATGATTGATAATCTCATTTGTGACTTGAATGTATTTTTGTTATTTATTTTTCTGCATTACTTAAAACTTGAGTGTATTTTTGGTGTGGATGATACAGGATTTTCAATTTTCAAAGAGTGTTATATTTCGATTTCAATTTAAAAATGTAACTGGTAGTGTAAAATAGGCACATAATATCTTGACATCGAAGGCACCTAAATCAAATCATAATTGTATCGCGGCATGTTGGGATATCGGCAAATATCGTATCGCTGGCTAAGAGAATTGATGTCAGATTGTATCATGAAGAAACATCCGATTTACACCCCTAGTACACAATAGTTTATTGAACTCATTCTTGGCATTTAAAGATTTTACATTCCATTGCCTTTTTGTTGTACACTTTGTGAAACCACATGAATGATTTTAATTAGTGTTTTGAATAAATATATTCAGGGGTGTTTCCTCAGGGGAGGCAAGGGATGCACTAGCCCCTTTTACACATACAGTCTTTACAGGTAAAAAACAAACAAAAATAATGACTTTATTCAACAATTTGTTCTCTTCTGTGTCAGATATCCTATGCTATTCGCTTAGTAAACAGTACAGCGCTTCCAGGTTCTACCCCAGAATGCTGGCTAATTATTGGCCGACGCGGTTCACGTGAGCACCACGACACATGCGTGCGATACTGATGCAGGAGCTGGCCAATGGTGAGCCGGCATTCTGACGTAGATCCCAGAAGCACTGTACTGCGTTTACTGCGCGAATAGCGTTGTAGGAGATCTGACACAGAAGAGAAGAAATTGTTGAATAAAGTATTTTTTTTTACACTTATTTTGTGTGTATTTGACAGTTTGTGTTTAAGAGCAATAAGCAGCAGCAAACAAATAAATACTAAATTTAGTGCTGAGAGGCGACTTTATGTGCGCGCAGTTTGGGTGTGAGCACAAAATCTGCGCAAATGTTTAAAATTATGCCCAATACATGCAATCCGACGCCGAAATTCTAACTCATATATATATATATATATATATATATATACATATTCATTCATTGACCAAGAAGCGTAATACAGACGGGAAAAGGTGTTTCTAAAAGATTTGAGGGATTTAATAGATAATAATAATAATTTGATATAAAAAAAATATTCAGAAAAAAAAAACAAAAAAAAAAACACTGCAGAGTTTTATGACATCACTAGAAGCATATGGCTACAAAATATGCATGTGTCCTGACTCATGAATCACATGACGTGAGCCCAGACTTACGGGATAATGGGAAAATGGGGACCATCTAGAGCAGGGGTGTCAAACTCAGTTCCTGGAGGGCCACAGCGCTGCAGAGTTTAGCTTCAACTCTAATTAAACACACCTGATCCAGCTAATCAAGCCCTTCAGGCTTATTTAAAAACTACAGGTATGTGTGTTGGAGCTGGTTGGACTAAACTCTGCAGGGCTGTGGCCCTCCAGGAACTGAGTTTGACACCCCTGATCTAGAGGCTCAAGGCCTGCAGATGGTCCCTGGTGGACCCTGATCATCCGGGCTGGTCACCTTCCTGTGACGTAAAAGAGTCATAATTCATCTCAGTCTGTCACACTAAAGTCTGTACAAAACAATTACAGTATTGCTAAAAATAGATGTGCATGCAAAGTCTGACACACCTACACCTAGATGATGATTCATCTCTGCTGTGCCAAAGTCCTTCAAAAGCCCTGGGGAAAATAAGTCTTTATAACACTGATACCCTCCCAACGCAGACTGAAAAGACTGTGTCAAGATAATGACAACATTTATAACTTCTGAGCAAAATACATTCAGAAATATACTGTATACGGGGTTGTGGACATTTTTTCCTAGCCAGATCACATTTCATCCCAACACACCTCAATATGGACGCACAAGGAACTTGTTTTTCCAGCATTGCGTGGCGAGAATGGCAGCAACTGTCAGTATCCCTTACATGATTCAGCACATATCTGACCACTTACTTTGACTTGCCATAAAGAAACAAACTGCTTAATGAATGATTACCTCTCAACTAACGTTACACATCTCAGAACAGCTTTAAATTAAATCTAGAACATGAAAGTCTCTGTGATGTAACTTACTAGCAGCTAGTGATGCAGTGAAGTTTCAGCCAAACCTTTCAAACCTTTCAAAACAAACCAGTTAGCCGATCCTGGCTGCTACCTTTGTAGCTAAACTTGCTGCGTTTGTGGATAACTACAACTATCCAGCTGGGAAACGATCTTTGCATAAACGCAAGACATTTCAAACTTATAAATATTCTACACTAACATATTGGGCAATTTAAAATAAACATCAGCAGATGTTAACTTAGCAAAGAAACTGAAGCTAACTTCCACAACAGACATATTTAAATACATGTCGAACTACTGCATGTAAATATATATATATATATATATATATATATATATATATTTATATTGAGTATATATATACTCAATATATACGAATTTCCTAGGATAATCTGAAAAATGACAAGTTTAATAAACCAATGAGACGGGAGGGAGGGCTAACAAAACAAAGCGATATTTTTACAGGCTTAACGTTACACTTACAGTAGTAAGCGACCACCGGTTCTCTTTTCTCGTGTTCCTGTGCTGTTCTTAAATGGTGCTGGATCGCTTTCAGCTGCGTTGGGAGAGCCATCCTGAAGAGAAGTCGTTGTTACAAACTTCTACAAGAGCCGAAAAATGGCTAAAAACAAAGATGACAAGCGCTCGCGAAGGAGCTGCTTCCGCGTCTTCACGTGAACGCGCAACCACGCCTTTACTGACCTCCATAGGCGAGGAGGAGCAATTGACCGACACGAATCTGCGATTATTTTCATTCGGCATAAAAAAAAAAGAGTAAATACATATTGACTTCTATACAGAGAAATCTGTAAAAGTTTTATTTAGTAATCATATACTATATTTGAAGGTGTCATTTGTAATTTATTTGTCACATTGTATTATTTGTTTTAATTAATTAGGCTATTGCACAAAAGAAAAGTCCAAAATGGTTTGCTTTACTGTTTTTGTTCTTTGTTTTATATTTGGGCTATATATTTACATTAATAACGAGTTATAATAATCAACAGTGTTATTTTGTTCAAATGTTGTATGGTGAACCTATAGGCTAGGTTTACTGCAGAGTTTAATGCTACTGTAAAATAAAATACTTTAAGAGCCCCTCGTAAAGTTTTGGTTCCTGTTATTCAATAGATTCAGCTTTTATTGTATTCCCCTTCTAGTATGTGTAAATATCACCGATATGGTATGGTGTACACAAAAAGAGTGACACAACTATTTTAAACATTTTTACTTGATTGAATATTCACAAACATTACGAAAGCATTGTATCAGAAAGAGTACCTTGGATTCACAAGCAGTTCTGTTTAATCTGACTACGAGTTACTTAACAGTAAATATTTCCCTAGACTGATAATACATTATGGCAGTCATAATATATGCACCAATTATGTTACCTACTGTATATGAAGATTTTCATGCATAATCATATCATAAATCCCATAGACACTGGTAATCAAAAAAAAAAACTGTATGATCAATTCTCTAAACATAATACAAAAGCTATTACTCCAACAACTATGAAGTTGAAACAGTGGGAAGGCAACTGCGAGAATATGTGAAGGCCAAACCTGCGGTAAGATGTTTCTGTAATGAATAAATCATATTCTTATAATAAACTATTACCTGCTGACACAAAATAAGAGTTCACAGTATGCCATGTTGTACCTGAGATGAAACACTTAGCTGAGAATAATAACAAAAAGTTGGATGGATGCCTGATGAAAATGTAGATACCAACACTACAAACACACAAGATAATTCTGAAATGGACTATATGGAAATCAACACCATGATAGGATATATAGGCTATATCAATGATCCTATCACCATATAGATAGGATCATTGATATACTATCCATGTGCATAATCGTGACTAAGTACGCAGTACCACTGACCAATCAATAATGTTTTTCAATATGTATGCTATGTTGCATGTACTTATTCTTCCTTATTCCCTTTTAAGAAGAATGAATCATTGTTGAAATTTAAATCAAAGAATATTTGTCAAAATAGTACTCGCAATAGTAATTCAATATAATGTAGAAATCTAAATAATATTGCAGAGAATTACTAAATACTTGTCTTTAAATACTCGAAATACTTTGGGTTTAGATTAGCTTATATAAGTCAATAATTGAAAAAATATATATATTTAAGTTTCTCCTGCAAGAGAGGTGACTTATTTAGGCTTAAATAAGTTGGCTTTATAACTAAAAATATCAATGAGTCCCTTGTCATTAATTATTAATAAATTGTCTAGTTAAAAAAAACACACATGTCTTTCTGTGTCTACCACCAGAAAGTCTAGAGGTATGTGAGTTTATGTCTTGTTTGTCATTCAGAGACCCATAGAAGACATAAAACTAACACTGTTGAAGCAAACTTTCTAAATTCTCAAGACACTGGCTGGTTTAAAAAGCCAATTCTTCGGAACCGAATCTCAAAAATCTCAGCAATACAGAGGAGTATGGTGATGATTGTAAAGGTGTACATTGCACTGAGGAAGATAGTCTTCTCAAAGTGTTCAGGGACCATACACTTTGAGATGTTAAAGATCTTCGCAAGAGCACTAGCATCACACATATAGATAGGAGCAACCAGGAACCCAAAGAGGTGGCTCTGAAGCCAAAATGCTAACACTTCCAGAATTATTCTCAGCAGGACAGAGATGATGTAGAAGACTGTGGACATCGGTCGCTGAAGGATCTCCTCCTGATCTATATTTTTACAGGCAGCATAAAGATGGAACACAGCTCCAGGTACCAAGACAGAGACTAGCTGCAACGCCCAGAATACCTACAAGATGAAAGAAAAAAACATTTTATGTTACTTTGCTGTCTTTTAGTACAAGTCTTTTCTATTGTGACGTATATCTGAGTGAAGCTGCTTCTCGGACAAGAAAAATGTAGGGGGGGGGGGGGGGGGGGGGGTTCGGGTGAGGGGAAGGGGTCTGGAATTTTTTCCATCAAGAATTGATTGGATTGTTGGATCGTTATGGTTTGCTATTGCTGTGATGTGATGTGAGTGACAGGTTGTCCCGCCCTAACGCCAGTAAACACATCATCAGAGAAGAGAGAAGATGTCGCTGCAAGAGGAGGGGAAGATATTTTGATCAAAGATTACGAGGGCACGTGAATAAAAAAAAAAAAACATTATGTGCACAGAAAAAATCATTTATAATAAATAATGTAATATATTCCATTAACAAATATATTTCATTATGACTTTAAGCTTGTTTTTGTTTTTCAACTTGTCAATTTGCCCTCAAATATGTTTTTTATTCAAGTTTCCACCAAAAAATTCAACGTGATTATAGGCCATAATAATACATCTTCACAATCAGCTTCTCATATTATTCACTGAAATACAGTTTTACATCCAGGTTTTGATTATCTGCTTTTTAAAATCATTTTTAAGATATAGTAGAATAGAGTAGTAAACTTAATTTATTCCATGCAGTGAAAATGTCAGATTAAGGGCCAGTTCACACCAAAAACGATAACTATAAAGATAACTATATTAGCGTCCACACCAGCAGGTGATAACGTTCTGTTTTTTTCAAAGCGCATGCTTGTCTGTCACTTTAAAGGCTCGTTCTTAAAGTGATTCCAACGATATAGTGAAATTTATAGTTATTATAGTTATCGTCCTCGGTGTGAACCGTCCCGGATCCAAATCTTACAGGTACATGGCTTGATTAGCAAAAGTTGTTAGAATTTCTCTTTCTTATTACTTCCATACATCCATGTTCACTTTTGGCTGTCATTTCATGTATTTTAATTAAATTACAATCCCAGATTATTAAATTCATATACTTTCATGCACTTTTACCTGTGGTGTTATAGGCCTGAACTGGTTGTAACAGTAAAGGTTTAATTCCCTTTTGTCTGGATCACAGCTGAAGTGGAGGGCCTCATTGCCATAGACTGCGAATCCAAGGACTCCAAGGAAGAACGTACGCACTGAGCCGAAAAACAGCGTGTGGAACTGGCCTATCACCGTCGGAGGCCTGAGCTGAAACATGCAATGCAGAGATCTTAACATGCATTCACTAAAACCATTTTCAAACACAAAATATCTCTAATTTTGCATACAAGGTCAAACTTTAGACTGCATACTTACACATCCTTCATAAAAGTTTTTGATGTAGATTAATGACATAATTTGGCTTCACAGCTCTGCATCATTCTATGGTTGCTTGTCACCATCATTGCCAGTCTTCTGGCCTCGGGCAGAGGCAGATAGCAATTCTGAACCTCAAAATGACCTTTCGCTTTAGAAACCTCTTTGTCAATGCAGACTCTTTTATCTGCAATGCCTTCATCAATTTACTCACTCAGTGCAAAAAAAAAAAAAACCCAAAGAAACAAAACAAGGAAAATAACAAAGGCCACAGGACATGTGGTCAGCTCATAGGCTAATCCCTATTCAACCATGTCAGCGGAAAAACAAAAACTCTTGCATCTCACAATAGAGCATAGCAAACATGACAATTGCAACAAAATGCAATTGTATCACTGGGCAAATCACATAATGGAAAACAATGGGAAACAACAATTAACAGGTTAACAAATATGTTCATAATTCCAGAGAAGTATTTAAACAGGCAATTGAATTCAAGCCAACAATGACTGCCATAGAGCCTTTTGTAAAACAATTTGAAAACTGATTATGTAGTGATATCCTGGGATTTTGATATCCTTATAAGGGTTTCCAGACAACTCTAACTTATATTTATGTAAATAGCTGTTTAAATTAGACCTGTTTTCCTTTATAACGTACATCTATACTACATTATCTATCTCTGATAACAGTTAACAGGCCTACTGAAAGTTTCTCTAGAATTTCCAGTAGTGTTTCTTCAATAAAATAGCACGATAAACGTTCACACGGTAAGAAACGTGTTAAATCGTCTATTAAAAGTCCACACACCAACCGTAATCCAGGCGGAGTGTTGTTCATCCCCCTTCTTAATCAGAACCGAGGTCCTGCTCTCATGTCACTGCGTCCCGAGGGAAAAAAGGACCTGCTGGCAAAGCAGCATGTTGGGGGCGCCTTTCTGACGGCAAGCTTTTTCGAGTCATAAACCAAAGAGCAAACAGACAGGCAAGCCAGCAAAGAATAGATCAATAAGGCCACAGAGATGCTAATTACCGAAATAAGAGTGGGGTCTGGTGGTCATACGGTCATTGCGCACGTGGTGCACACGCAAGCAAAGCTGTCAATCAAAGTGATGCTTCATATATGACCGTTTGATTGTTTGTTTGCTCATTTAGCTCAATGGCATGATGGAGGAGGACTCCATTAAATAAGTTTATATTATTGGTATGTTGCTATTTACATCGTTTTATGCATTATATCTGAGAATAAAAAGTCTTTTTTTTTTTTTTTTTTTTTTTTTTTACATATATTATTATTTTCTCTCCACATCAAACCCATTCAATAAATAAATAAATAAAATTTCATTTAAGAAAAACCTTGAATACATATCTAATCTAAAAAGTTTGCAATTTCTGAATTAAGTCATTTTCCATCTCTGAAAAAAAGTCTCATTAAAAGGAATCTTTAATCCTTGAAAAAGTTAGCATAAAGATGTTTTTCATTAAAAATGACAGATATGTTTCAGTGCTGATTTTAGATAATGGTGAAGGAAAGCCGTATAAGGCCACCTGTTAATTTACTGCAGAAAATAGCTCAATACATTCTTCTGTAATTAATTTAGTCTCTATATTACCATTGTTGCATCAAGAGCGTCATTAAAGCCAGCAGATGTCACTAACTCAACATGACATCACCACATGCAACCCAAGTGAGTGGCGAATTATATTAATTTACCCTATTACCAGAGGCCACATTTACATCAGGAAACATCTGTGTTGTGGCAAACACACACACACACACACACACACACACACACACACACACACACACACACACACACACACACACACACACACACACACACACACACACACACACACACACACACACACACACACACACACACACACACACACACACACACACACAAACACACACACAGGTTTTATGGGCACTTTCCATAGACATAATGATTTTTATACTGTTCAAACAGTGTATTCTATCCCCTTACACTAACCGTTCCCCTAAACTACAGAAAACCTTCTGCATTTGTACATTTTCAAAATACATCACTTGATTTATATATGATTTATAAGCTGTTTTCCTCATGGGGACCAAAAATGTCCCGATATTGCCATCTTTGTGGGGACATTTTGTCCCCATGATGTGTGGATTATCAAGCCACACACACACACACACACACACACACACACACACACACATATTTAAAATAACCAACTCATGAGATCAGGCTGAAACAACACACATTTTAGATGTAAGAAATTTTGTTCTCAGGGTGTGAGTCAAGGTGAGAACCAAGTCAAGAAGATGAACTTGAGACAGTGGGGCAGTGACTTGTAATGCTTTTTCATTCATAGTCTGAAACTTATTCAGTTATCCCTTGGCTGATCTTTAAGCAGAGCAGAACCAGTAAGAGTTGTCAAAACACTCCTGTAAAAGCCTTTTACAGTTTTTCTCAGTCGCTGGTACATTTCTCAGATCAAAATTGAAATTTTCAAAACTACCTGTTCAATCTTCACATCATTGTGTCACTTGTGCACATCAAAAAAGCAGTTTCTCATTTCTTTGAACAAGTTGCAAATGCTTTGGTACATCCATGCAAATGATTATGTACAATTCTCTGCTGTTTCACATGATCAATTGCTTATGTCATGTTGATCAAAATGTATTATAATGGGTCTCTGTTGAACAGTCTCACCCCCCACAACTTTTAGGCATTAGTTCAGCATAAGTCTTTGCATGCAAAATGGTTGAACAAGTTGTCATAATCTAGCATATTTCTATACATTTCCATTAGACGTTTTTTCTAAATCTGTCCTGTTCACATTTCTACTTTTGTTTTTTGTCTTTCGTTGTGCTATGCAGTGCTGTCTTTTCCTTTCTGTATCGCAATGACATGGTCTGTCAACAAATAACAGTACAAACAGTAAAAGCATAAATGTGAATCTTGTCCAGTCTTTTGCAATCAAACTCCCACATACACTAAGGTGTAACCTACAATTTACAATAATTGTCATCAAAACTTTAGCCATAGTTTACATCAGAACATCCCTCCGAGGACACTGTTATATTGACAACATGACTAAGCAATTTGACTGTGTTATCCGTACACAATGACACAATGACTTGTCATTCTGATGGCACTGACATGTTCATTTACACAGATATTTACGTTTGAGAGATGAACTAAATATTTTGAGCAAGAGACTGGCTTTTGCAGGAAATCCATGGTGTTTTGCTATAATGCACTTTTAGAAATGTCGAGGATGATTCGAGAAATGTAAGCTGAGACTGAGAAAAACTGTAAAATGAGGCTTCCTCTCTATCCAGCATTACGGCAAAAGAACAGGTTTGCGCAGACCACAACACTCTTAAAAATAAAAAGGTTTTTATTGGCATCAATAGTTCCATGAAGAACCTTTAACATCTATGGAACCTTACATTCTACAAAAGGTTCTTTATATCGGAAAAAGGGTCTTTAGATTATTGAAATGTTCTTCTCGCTAAGAAAAAAATGGTTCTTTTAAGAACTGTTCACTGGAAGGTTCTTTGGGGTTCTTCCATGACTCTAGTGAATACAAGACCATGATAGATTGGTTCTGAGGCCAAGGCCAAATGAAAATCTAATTTCAAGATCTGTCTGGAGTCTGGACAAAGAACCTTTGTCATCAGAACTTAATGCATAAATGTTTGCTGTGCCTGTTTATTTTATCCCTATAAGGATGAGAAAGCAAACCTAACATGAAGGTTAGAATTAAAAAAAATCTCTTTTAGGCTATGTAATTCTTGGTTTCAATCTCCAGTGACAGGGGACACAAGCAAATAAAGTCTTAGATTTTTGTAAAGGAGTGGAGAACTTTTCCATCTCTGTCTCTCTTTCTCTCTCTCTCTCTCTCTCTCTTTCAAATACCTGTTTTTCTACTCTAGTTGTCCAGACCCAGTTGGTTTTCTTATTACGTATTTATTGCCATTCTTCCCTCGGTAAATCCCCCCTGCGAGTCATAGAAAGAGCATGAAAGAGCTCCAGTCTAACTCCGATAAGGGGGCGCGCGGACAAAAGCTACACCTGACGAGTCCAGAAAGCACAATTCCAGTTTGCGCTACTGACGAGCGACTGTCCAACACCGTTCTTTCATATATGGGGATTCGGGGGTTTTAGTTTATTTATTTGGTTTATTTTAGTGTGGAAGATGGGGAATTAACACATTTAGATGGCAGACAGACAGACAGACAGACAGACAGACAGATAGACAGATAGACAGATAGACAGATAGATAGATAGATAGATAGATAGATAGATAGATAGATAGATAGATAGATAGATAGATAGATAGATAGATAGATAGATAGACAGATAGACAGATAGACAAATAGACAGATAGACAGATAGACAGATAGACAGACAGACAGACAGATAGATAGATAGATAGATAGATAGATAGATAGATAGATAGATAGATAGATAGATAGATAGATAGATAGATAGATAGATAGATAGATAGCACAAAACTGTTTGGTGCTGCTCTCTGCAATGCTGTTCTTATGGCAAGCCGATTTAACATGTTTTCCATTAATAGGCTATATTTTCGTTCCAGTAGTTTTCTAATGAATCCAATAATTAATAGTAAAACCGGAATAGTTACCAGAATCAACTCGAATATACACAGGAACTGTATAGTGATGATTAGTGGCAAATAATGAATTAGCTTATAGATTAAGTAGCCTAAATGAGAAATTGAGAACAATACCAGTCACTATTGGATTTATTAGTAGTCTAAAATAGGTATTAATAGCCTCAATACATAATAGTTAGTTTAAAGGATTAAATGTTAAGATGGTTTGCCATAGGCTCCCCCTTTACTTGTCCCTGCCTTTCAAAGAAGCCAGTCAACTTTTAGGGACGTGGCTGAAGACATCGCTCATTTCAGCACTAAGTTTTGCGGACAGCACCTCTCTCTCTCTCTCTCTCTCTCTCTTTTCCAAAACAGGGCAACTTTTTACATCCATTTATTATTTTTAACTCGTTTGCTTTCTAACCACTAAACCGAAATATGGATCACACTTTCTCTGAGGATACCTCAGCCTATGAGAACTTCACAGATGACTGGACATCCGATGGAGGGGAAACGGTGCATTTCATCATTCGCTGCGTTATCCCATCGGTCTATATACTTATCATAACAGTTGGTTTACTGGGCAACATCACTCTTGTGAAAATATTCATCACTACCAGCGCGATGCGAAGTGTACCAAACATTTTCATCTCCAGCTTGGCTGTGGGAGATCTTTTGCTTTTGGTCACTTGTGTACCAGTGGACGCGTTTAGGTATTTCTATGAAGAGTGGATTTTTGGAATTGTGGCTTGTAAGATGATCCCGGTGATCCAGCTCACCTCGGTCGGAGTCTCCGTGTTCACTCTCACGGCACTGAGCGCAGACAGGTAAGGGGGGAAAAAATCATGAATAAACAGCAATCACTGCCACTGTGAAAATGAGGACAATGTCTGAAACAACCACTAAAACAAACAAGAGAAATTAGCAATAAACAACGTGTGTGTGTGTGTTTCGTTGTTTATAGCTCATTCCTCGTGTTTGTAAACAAATGTATATATTGACATGCATTATATAGGCTACTGTGTATATATATATATATATATATACTCTTAGCTTATTAAGTTGTATAGAATTCCTCATTAAGCACCTGTAGCTGAGAGCAAAATGAATACAAATATACATTGATTTACAGAGGAGTTAATCTTGATGCTGTAGATATCATGTCCCATTTGGCAAACTGCCTGAAGGGGTTCTGTATTAAATTTGATTCATGACTCAACAGAGATATATTTCTCAACAACAAAGATGCAGTTCATTTCTCTGACACGTGATGGGGTTAGGTGTGCTCGGAGCACAGATTTGGACAGATAATGAAAGATTGATTAGGCAGTTTGTTTTCATACTTTCTGTACACATAAATATTGTTTTGAAGGCTGGAAGTCATCTGTACAGCCTATAACCCATGACATTATTATTCTGATTTACTCACACCGCAGTGAAGAGACATCATTATAGCCAAAAGAGCAGATTTGGGATAAAGCTTAGAAAAAATGATTGTCCATTCAAGAAAACCTGCATACATTGTGACCAGAATTAACAAATATTCCTTTATAAACTTCAACTGAAAAGAGTATCTTCAGAATTCGATGTTCTCATTAGTAGATTACAAATCCTAAATGATGATTGTCAACATAATATTACTGTTTTATTAATTGACAAGCTCTGGCTGCATTAGAGCATTAGTCTGTGAAAGAGCATTACAAATGTGGACGAGTATCTGTGGTGAAGATGACAAATGTCCGCTCTGTTTCACTCTGCCCATATCCTTCACTTCTGTCTCAGTGCTTGGGGGCCTCAGCTAAAGGTGATGACCTTTCCTAGCCTGATTTGTTGCTCAGTCTGTTTGTTGTTAAGAGCACCTGAAAGTTCATTTGTGCCACAGTGATTATGCCACAACCCTGGGGTCCAAGCAGTGCTCATTTATTGCTATTGATTTGAAGGCTGCATTAAAAGTTCCGTTCCCCAAAATGACAATCGTGATGCAAAATGTAGTCAGTGTACAGTTACTTGGGATAATCAATCTCCAGGCCAAAGGAATCATGTCTAAAATTATATATATGACAAGCTTCTGCCTGAAGCAGAAAAGCAACAGAAAAGAGACTATTTGCATCGTCATACAAAATGATTGTTTTGAAGACTCAATCTGATTAGCACTTAGTCAAGATTCACAGTCATGCGTGAAATGAAATCATTTGTTCAAATAAGTTAATTTGCATGTTATTCGGTTCATATATGCTCAACTCAGACTTGTTTACTCAGGGAGAAACCAAGCTGTGATCGTGGCGCTCCCCAGCTAACCCATGCCTCAGGCAGGGCAGTCTGTGTTCATTGAGAGAGGAAAAAGCATGCCCGTGGCAATAGAACCTGGTGGAGGAGAGAAGTTAGGGGGAGGATGCTGTCATATGAGATTTCCATTTACCTTAGAGATGATGGCAGCAGAATGTCTAAAGGACACTGTCGAATATCAAACCCGACTGGTTTGTCAATAGGAGAAAATTGACAATTTCCTTGGAACAAAAGCAACCAATTTTCCTCCATGAATTTTCTCTATTGTTTTTTGTTTACTTTATTCAGTTCTGTAGGCTTTGCAGCCGGTGCAGAATATCGGAAAGAAGTGCACAGGAAATATCGTATTTCGTATAGGACAGCTTTTCTTTTGGGAGAAAAACCTTAGATGAATCATTTATAAGTTTGATCATGTAGTTTTAGACTTAGTATTGCCAAATGCCAGTGTAAAGGTTTTTTAGGTTCAAGTAGGGAATAAAATATCTGATATATATACTGTATATATCAGATATTTTCTTCTTATATAACTATCTTTTTATGGCTTGAAAATGATCATTTGTCGCAACCTTTGAAAGTACTGCCATGTTTTAATATTTTGTTATATACATATTATATACAGTATATGTGTGTGTGTGTGTGTGTGTGTGTGTGTGTGTGTGTGTGTGTGTGTGTGTGTGTGTGTGTGTGTGTGTGTGTGTAAATTCAGTGTGTGTAAAGTGTTGATGTCATGAATCAAACTGTCATATAATAAGCTTATCCAATAAGATAAATGTATCTCTGTACTGTACATCAATAATTTCAATAACATGGAACAGTCATGGAATGAAACTGAATAGAAAATTGAGATGTATCAGTTAAATGCCTATTCTCAAAACGTGTTTCAATAATAACAGCAGATCTAGTATAAACAGGCACACATCCTGCAGAGGAATAACCATAAACCTTAGCACAGAATCAAATCTGACTACAGATAAGAACACAGTGTTTTCCCTCAAGCTATGTTAAATTGATGATAAACAAGGCAATTTCTCAATTCAATCAATTCTCAACCTGGATGAAAGTCACAGCAATCTGTGTGCTGACAATTCTTCACATATGTTTCTTTTAGACACAAAGCTATTGTGAATCCCATGGATATCCAGACCTCCAGCGCAGTGTTCTGGACCTGCTTGAAGGCCATCACTATATGGGTTGTCTCAGTGCTGCTGGCTATCCCCGAGGCAGTCTTTTCACAGGTGGTTCACATGCCTGACAAGAACATGACGTTCACCGCTTGTGTGCCGTATCCACTCTCCAACGAGATGCATCCCAAGATTCATTCGATTATGATATTCCTCGTCTACTTCCTCATCCCTCTGAGCATTATCTCTGTTTACTACTACCACATCGCGAAGACACTTGTCAAGAGTGCTCACGATATGCCAGGTGAGATTAGTGAGCACTCCAAAAGACAGGTAAGAGGTTCCAGGGGAAGAGCGTAAAGCTCACATGCATGGTTGAATGCCAGTCTTCTGTGTTTGTCAAAATAAGTTCTTCTTCAGGCATTGCGGATTGTTGCTTCAATCCATCAATCATGTTTTAGATATCACAGTTGAGATAAGAGCACAGATATTTCGGATTTGTCATTGGAAGCACACTGGAAAAAGGTTAACCTAAAATGTGCTTTATGTGCTAATTGGTTGGGCTGTGCAAATGTCAAAATTCAAGAATGAGTGCGAATTTCAAATCAATTCGCCACGCCACAGGAAGTAGTATTCGAATTTTTACTGAACTACAGAAGAAATGTTGCGCACAATGCACAGGTAACAGTCAAGTCAAGTCAAGTCAATTTATTTATAGAGCACAACATAAACACAACATTTGTTGAACCAAAGTGCTTTACAGATGGTCAGATAAGTTATTAGAGACGTATTTTGTGGATAAAGTATTTTGTATGGAGATGGATAATGTATTTTGGATACATAATCCAAAATGATCTATTCTATACCCTTCTGGTTTGCCAAAAGTTAATTTATTAAATATTAAGAAAAATAAATTCAAAATGCCATTCTCTATCCATCCATCCATCCATCCATCCATCCATCCATCCATCCATCCATCCATCCATCTATAAATAATTCCAAAGAAATGACAAGTAACACATTGAATGACAGGTAAAATTTGAAGTAAAATGAAAGTATTCTCTTGTTTTATGTACAACTTAAAAAAAAAATGTTTTTACAGTATACTGTAGTTAAAAATCACAGTTATATGACTTTCAATAGATTTGAACCCTGCATGCTGCCTTAATACAAATTCAATTCAAATTCAGGAATTGAATCGGAATGAATACAACCCTTACTCATTATTTGCAATTAAATGTCGATTTGCAGTAACAAAATGGAATTGGCCGTTTTATGATGATCTAAGAGAATATTTCTTCCCCAAGAGCCAAACCATAAACATTTTAAGAGAACGTATATAAAATGAGCCTCTGCTGAACTGAGGGACACCCTTCACAGAATGCTCCCTTGACAGTTTCTTGAGACAGGGCACTTTATCTTTCGCTGCATGGGCTATGAATCATCAGTTGAGCATTGTTCCAAGGGTCCTTAAGGATGACAGATATTCTCGTTAATATTCTCTTTTAGCAGCTGTTTCAAGGCAGCTAACATTCTTTGCTCCCTCTTGCCCTTGATAGTACAGTGTATCATCCTATGAAGTTTACCGTTGGTTTTATCTCTTTTGGTTATGAGTAATCATGCATTTCATGAGACAAAACACCAGTCTTGTTCATCCATTTATCATTCATTTCTCTGAACGGCATGAATAGCTTATTGGGATATAATCTCTTGTATTGCACTGTATGTACTTCATTGAACCGTGTAAATTATGCATTATCAGTACTGCAGAATCTCAGGAGCCAACCGATAAAAAAAAAAAAAAACATACTTAAAGGGATAGTTCTGACATTATTTACTCACACTCACATTGTTACAAACCTGTATTTACTTTCCGTATTCTGTGGAAAACAAAAGAAGATATATTCTTTTAAATGAATAAGATGAATTTAAAGCAAAAACCAACATACACTACCAGTCAAACCTTTGGAATAATTACGATATATATATATATATATTTTTTTTTTATCGAGAGAGAAGTCTCTATATTTGATTAAAAAAAATACAGTATAACATTAATATTGTAAAAATATTATTACAGTTTAAAATAACTGTTTTCTATTTTAATATATTTAAAAATGTCATTTATTCCTGTGATGGCAAAGCTGAATTTTCAGCATCATTACTTCAGTGTCACATAATCCTTCAGAAATCAGTCTAATATGCTGATTTGCTGCTCAAGAAACATTTGTTATTATTATCAATGTTGAAAACAGTTTTGCTGCTAAAAGGTAGAGTGGGCAATTTTGGAGAGGCAATAGCAAGCTAGCTTTGAAAGCATGAGATCACATCCTCCCTTCAGCGTCTCCAAAGCCACGCCTCCTCCAAAACACATGAACGCACACAGCCAGAGCAGAGTCTTCGTTAAATTACATCATGTCTCAAAGCACATAACATTACAATAATAATGAATGTAAACAAACATACAGTACATGTCTTATTTGTACCACCTGATTGCTGCAGATTCATTTAGCCATTGATAGTGTTGACATAGAACAGCAGTTCAAGGACGTAAACAGCTCCAAGTAGAACATCACGGGTAGTCAACTCTTAATTGCGGAAATTACAACGTGCCGTGAATTCGGATCGAATGCAATGATTTTTTTGTCGTTGTCACGTTTGGCAAACGTTTTTTTTGTTCTGAGATTTTCAAAGAAGGTACCTGTTTTTATATCTAGACCACTTTTATTATTGATTGCAATCAAGATGTGAAGAGAGTATAACAAAAAGTGTTTCTGAAAAACATTGCCAAGATTTTTGCGGAAACACTTACATTCAAAAGTGTGGGAAATAATATTTGTTTTAAGAAAAGAAAACTAATTAATACTTTAACGTAGCAAAAGACACATTAAATTGATCAAAAGTGACAGTAAAAACATTTATAATATTACAAAAGATTTATATTTAAAATAAAATCTTTTGAACTTTCCATTCATCAAAGATATGCATCACAGTTTCCACAGACATATTGCGCAGGACAACTTTTCTCAATATTGGTAATAATAAATGTTTCTTGAGCAGCAAATCAGCTTATTTTAGAATGATTTCTGAAGGATCATGTGACACTGAAGACTGGAGTAATGATGCTGAAAATTCAGCTTTTTAAATTGTAATAATATTTACAATATCACTGTTTTTACTGTTATCAAATAAATGCAGAGCACAAGAGACATCTTTCAAAACCAATAAAAAAATCGTAATTATTCCAACCTTTTGACCGATAGTGTAACTGAAACATAAACACCCGTCTGCAAGAACTAAAACGACAATTACCGGGTTCAGAATCAGGCTAGAGGAAGCAGTACTGAACTTGCATGCATTTTTATTGACCTTATCCTCATCTAAAATGCACCTCATACTTTATTTGAGTGGTCTTATCTGTCAACTTTTCTCCTTCCCTCTTTTGAGACGGAAACAAGGAAGCGTCTAGCCAAGATCGTTCTGGTGTTTGTGGGCCTCTTCGCACTGTGCTGGTTCCCCAACCACGTTCTCTACATGTACCGCTCCTTCAACTATCGGCAGATCGACTCCTCGCTGTCACACCTCATCATCACGCTTGTGGCGCGAGTGTTGAGCTTCTCCAGCTCCTGCATGAACCCATTTGCCCTGTACCTGCTGAGCGAGAGCTTCAGAAGGCATTTCAACAACCAGCTGCTGTGCAGACAGCGCAAATACCAAGAGCGCAACACCAGCTACCTTCAGAGCACTTCTGCTATCCGCATGACCTCCATCAGGAAGAACGCAAGTGCCGTGGCCAACGGGCATGGCCAAAAACCAGGAGTCTGCATTTAGCAGCTGTTCTCTTAAGGCTTGGGGACTCACATATAGGTTCAACTGAAGAGTTTGGTGACCCAGCTGGGTAAATGGGCGTTTGTTGAAGCAGGAAATACAGAAGGATTACTGTTGTAAATATTGCATGTATGTTTTTCCCAAAGGTTGCAACGTCGCTTGAGGCCCAGAATGAAATTTGCTTTATTTTTTGAAACATTATTCTTATTGCAAACAGAAAGGAATGGATATCCCGCTGATAACTGAAGGCTAATTCTATTTCTCCTCAAGCTAAACACAATTTCTGCCTGTATAAAATATCAGCTCTGTACAAAAGATTGGACTAGAATTTCCATTATTGTATAATGCTTTTCAGCTCAATCATTTTTCCTTTTTCATCCAGTCAAATGATGAAAATTCAACTTTCATCGATGGAAAGTGCACTTAATACAGTAAATGAATGTTTGGAAAAGCAGTTTTGATTTCACCAGGCGGAAAAGCGTATTACAGAGATATCACTTAAATCATTTACATTGCCTACGGTCGCATTCTATTTCTCAGTAATTCACAATAACAATAATAATCAACAATATCCACAATATATTCAATTTAGGAGCAATGACATGGCTCTTTCCAGTGAATGTTAATGTCTATGATAGATCAGACAGGTCACACGCTCAAGGGTAAACTGTGGTGATTAGATTAATATATGCATAAACAGATTAGGATTCAACATGAATATAAATTTCTGAGACACGTTCCCTATAGCTTCCGATATATGAGTCAAAGGAAAGGAACGCCAAGATCATCATGGCAGACTAATATGAATAACGCATGCAGTGTATCATTCTTATATTCATCAGCAAATGTTATCCTCTAAATCACTGCATTGCAATATATTATCTTTAAATCATTTTTTTTCTGTTTGGAGTGCTTTGTTTCCACATCTAATGGTGTGGAATAATCATAAAGTTGTGAGGTGGAAATATTACCTATAAACTTTAGCGACTGTCATCGGAAAACTGAACTGAAACAGGCAGTCATGTTTCGAGCCTTTCATGAGGTCCCAAACCTGCAAAAATGAAGCATCAATGTCGTGACATGATTTTGTGCCCTAAACAAAGTTCAATGTGCTTTTTGTGATCTTGTGGTCCTTGAGGCATTATTTTGGAAAATGTGTACTTTACTAAAGTCCTGTTAAAACTGAATACTTGCATTTTTACTCAAAACATAGACACTTACACACACACATTTTACTGCTCACAATTTCATTTAGACCTTTAAATCTATCATAGGTCATCATAATATAAATATATAATAAATAATTGTAATTAATTTTTGTTCAAAACAATGAAATCCATTTTAATGGAAAATGAAATTAGTGACTAATTACAATAATTTGTCCTTGTGAAGAGACCCCTCAACACAGAATCTTTGACCAAAAGCAATGCGTTTTAATATTGCTGAAAATTATCGTGACATTTGAATTTAACATTCAACAATTTCAAGTAATATATCCGGTGTCCTATATCCCTTCAAAGTAAATACATAAAAGAAAGATGAAAAAGTTTGATTTGCTCAGACTGGGCATCAAAGTTACTTTAATGAGAAAATGTTCACTGGCTCCACAGGTCTGTTTCAAAAGTTATTTTTTTCTCTTTTTTTTTTACTTTTACATTTAGGGCCCTATCATAAGGGGCTTTCACACCGGAGGAACCTTTTCATAGTTCCAAAACTATTGGCGGAAGTACCCGGATCTCCGGTTCGCACCGCTGGAACTAGGAACGATTTTAGTTCTATAGGAACTCCATTTGGAGGAACTAATTTAGCTCCTACTTCAGAGTAGGCCTAGGGTTTAAACCAGCACAATACGAACAACCAGTGACATTAATATACACTGATTGGGCGAACGCATGTGAAACACCGGCACCCGCCATTTTTAAAAAAGCTCTGTAAACACCAAGGGGGTAATCCATCAGCCGGCAACCGAAGCTTCCTTGGGGGCCGCCATTGATTAGCAAGCCATCACCTGCTGTTAGCATTCCATTGACTCCCATTCATTTTAGCGTCACTTTGAAAGCGACTAACTTTACATCTGAGGCGTTTAAAGACTCCATTTGTCCATTGTTTATTTATAAAGAAACACGACAATGTATAAAAGGCTCCATTACCTTTGTATCTTACGCTATGGCCCCGTAGAAGCAGTTTTTGTAAAAAATAGGCTAACGATTGCGTCATAACCGCGCCACTCTCTGTCGCACAGTAAAGAAATTACCATATAGACAGGAGGAGAAGCTCGCGGGCAATCGGGGGGACGTGGAGGCATAAAGTCAAGGGAGAAGCCCATAGAGAGTCATAAAGTTGCTCCTGCTGCTAGCTCATGGACAGCTCCTACTCACGCTCTCCATCTCTGCAAGATTCGGAAGGGAATGATTCAGATTCCTCTTGGCACAGCTACTAGAAGACTTACAACTGTCAGACAGGTTGCTCACATCACATCTACGTCGTCAAGCTCAGTTTGAGGCTGCGCAGTACTCTCAGCCATCAGGAAGTGAGTGCTTCTAATTGACTTCACTTTTCTCCGTTGAAGTCTATGGGGTCGCTGTGTCTATGGTAAACAAACAGATTACAGCCAGAGATGGGCACAAATACATCAAAAATTATCAAAAAAATACTTACTCATCAAATGTATTTAAATACAATACAAAATACTGCTGTGAAAAAAGTCTTTAATAAAAAGTAATTACAAGTAATTTGTAATTTGAAAATACAAACAAAATTTACAATAATTTAAAGTGCGAGAGTAACTGTGGAGTTTAATACAAGTAAAGAATGGAACACACCAAGCCGACGCCGATGAACTACCGCTGATGAAAGCCGACTGTGTTGTCGCCTCTCGTCGGGGTAAAAAGCTGCACTTGAACACACCGAGAGAACTACTGCCGACTGTCAGCTAGCATGCGCGTTCTGCGCCTGTGTGTAATGAGACAACTGTCTATTTCTGCAGATATATTCTCTATATTCGTCATTCAAAAAGGGGAAACCGACGCTGCAGATACACATACCGTAAACAAAGCAGTGTGTGCATATCAATCCTGCTAAACACTTTCTTTATTCCACTCCGCTCGACTAAATATTGAAATATTCGCCAAGGAACACTAAGGTAAGATGACGTAACATAAGAACAGCCTTCTATCTGTAGAGTTTTGACTTCCTTGCTCGCTGTTTTGCTATTATTCTCGTTCATTGACTCTTTCACTAAGCTGAACAGCCAATCAGAGTTCCCTCTTTCACCGACGGCCCAACGCCGATTCAACATGTCGAATCGGCCGAAACAAAGCCGACGAGGACCAATTTCAGCCGACGGCACGTAACCGTGCGGAACTTAGTTGGAAACTAAAAAACACAGGAGACTTAGTTGGCCGACGCACAAAAACTGCCCGACGGCCAACCGTCGGCTTGGAGTGTTCCAGGCTTAAGAGTATAGAATATCAGAATATCGTTGTTTAGTGTAGAAGATGCGATTTTAACGTAGGCTATGTTGCCGCATACTGCCATAATAAAAGATAATTTCGCCAGCCACTAGGTTGCGAATTCCGAGAGTCCGAATATCGTACACAGTGGAACGTTTACATTGATTTAAGAAACAACCGACTGTGTTTACTTAAATATTCTCCAAGGTGGGCATTTTGACAATTTTGTTTGTAGGCTATCTGGCAGTTCATCAACCACTCAGATTTCAGCAACACACTCACATTCATATGTAGGCCTACAAGTTGTTTTAATTTTACCATCATTAAAGATTTATATCATCTGCCTGCAACCCACCCGCAATTAATCAGAAAGTTTTTTTTTTTACTTGACCTGCCCCACCCGCCTACAAATTTAACTACGATCAACGCTTCACTAGACAGAGCATGTCACTCTTTAGCTAGCAAGTCAATTTACAAGTTCTAGCTATTTGCATCAATCTTCTTTCCTATAATGACATTCAGTGAACAATATCTGATGGTATATTGTACTAGATATTTTACCTAAAGCAGTTTGACTGAGCACAAAAGCAGCTTCTTTACTTAATTGCGTCTGACCTTGTTCACAATGAGCAAGCCTTTTTCACAGAATAATGACGCGTTTTAACGGTCATCTAATTGGTCGAAAATCAGCATCGTAAATCCTGCAAAGTTTTTTATATACATTTAAAAAAAAAAAAGTAGGCTATGTACATATAACACTATATTTTTATTACAGTATATTAGGCTACAAAAACAGTGAAGTTGACTTCTTTCTCTCTTCTGACTGCTGTTATTAATCTCTCTCTATTTTTTCACTCTTTTTGAAAGTTCTGAAAACACTGTTGTGGCCTTTTTCTTTTGCTATTTGAGCAAATGTAAACACACAAAATATATTTAATATAGTCTCTCATTCACTGCTATAGAAGTTTACCAAACTATTCCTTCCACTTCTGAGAAACCCGGAAATGTGAACAGGGTCAATAAGATGTGTCACTCATGTGATTTTCTTGCATAGCCAAAAACTGTGATAGGCAATTTGGTAGTCCTATTCGTATTTTATATGGATTGAGCCTGGTGATGAAAGTTAATATTATGCTAAATAAAATGATATATTTAAATAAGTAGCCTATAAGTAATTTAAATACAAATTATAGTCCCTCAATTAATTACAAATAATTTTTTATTTATTTTTGTTAAGGAAAATACAAATGACAAAATACTCAAAAGTAATTAAATACGTATTTCAAATACATGTAGTAAAAATACTGCCCATCTCTGATTGCAGCCTATATATTTACCTCACAAACTAACTCTACGAACATGGAAAACAGTGATAGATGGACCTCTTAACCTTTACGCTAAGGAGAAAACCCAACGCAACTTTGAGGGGACCAAGCGAAGCATGATTATGTATTTCTGCTCAGCTAGCAACACTGGACATCAACCACACGGCTGTCTACTTCAATGTATAACAGTTCTATCTAATAACATAAACTACGTAAACGTAAACTAATGAACACAGAGAATGCGAGCACTGTTTGTTTGCTCAGGCTCTGGCTGGCTTTCTCAGAATCGCCGCGCCGTCAAAATAAAAGTCACAACAACACGCGGCTTAAGTCACTTTAGATATCCTACAGTGCAAATGCAACCTAGCCTGGATCCCAGCCGAACTTAGCCCCGCCCACAACATTTGAGGATGGGAAGTTTGGTCTGGACTTGATCCGTTGTGAAGCAAGTAAGTCCAAACCAAAGCTGTTCGGACCAATCAAATTGTCAGGGTGGGCTTTATACGATGATGGACAGATGATCAACAGTAACATAATCATCCACGTCACGTTTACAACAAAGAATGGCTGCCGCTGGAGAATTTAGATGTGTAGATTCAGCCATCGCGTCTGTTATAGAAGATACAGCACATTCATTTTAAAAGAGGAACAGAGAACGGCGATCAAGGCATTTGTCATTTATGTTTTTGCCGTCCTTCCTACGGGATTCGGTCTATCCAATTGAGTGCAGAGGCATTTCTTTCCTGGTTCGGTTGAAACACGCCCCATAATCACAGCCCAATGGAGCAGTATAAGACTCACATTCTGACTAGAATCTGAGTATGACGACGTCAGGCTAAATGCAACCAGGAAAGCGTTCCTAAGGGGACCATTAGTTCTCGGGAAACCACCCTGGTGGCTAAAATTCCTAGAACTAAGTTCATAGAACTACCTGGTGCGAAAGCCCCTTATACACCCGGCGCAATGCAGCTCCAGGCATGACACAAGTGTTTTTTGCTAGTTTCAGCCCGATGCAGTTATCATTTTCACGTACTGCGCCACGTTGTTTAAATAGCAAATGCATTTGCGCCCATTTGTGCTCCCATGGGCGTGCTGGTCTGAAAACGAGGTGTGTTCAG